CCCACAAACGCAAAAATTTATGTTCCTCATAACAAAAACGTTACTAATTTAACATGTAAATTTTTCAAAGTAAACAGTACTTACACATTACATTCTCTGCGCTCAAAAATAATGTCTATTTCTTCCTTAGAAATGAATTAAATTGTTTTATAAAATGTGCGCTAAATTACAGCTGAGTTAAAGATACACCAGCTAACAAGACTTTGAATCAGATAAAAGTCGAAGAATCTGTAAGCGAGGAGCTTGCATATCGGGAATAGGATAAACGTCTACTATTTGTTCAAAATGTGAAAAGGAGCAACCATCTGCCCCCGTGACCCTGGCGCCCATGGTAAAGTTCGTTTCCAAAAAACTCCTTTGCAAACGTACGCCAGGAAATGACGTTCACCAAAAAGCATTAAAGATTTAGACAAATCTAAAGGTAAAATGTCTTTCTATTTTTCCTCTGAGCCTTCTGTACTAATTTTTGTTCTTTTGATATATTTAAACGTCTTACGATGTCAAAGTGTATGTCTATGGGAAATAAAGCTAAAATAACAATTTTTATGAAAAGGAGGCTTAAAGGACATTGGCAACAAAAATTTTTTTTCATACGTTTATCATAGATAGCTATGGAATACTTAATTTCGTGTTTTCGTGTCTCTTTTGAATTTTGCTGTTGAGAAAATTTGACATAAAGTTGAATCCTTATCCGCCATTTTGGGAAAAAAGGCTTATGCTAAATTATGCCGGAATACATTACTGACGTCATTGGCTGGTATCCACTGAATGACACAATATAAAATAATAGTATTATAAAAATATATAGCACATTTGTTCACTGGAATTTTAAAACAAAAACAACCGTCGGCGGTTGTTAAGATTAACAAAAGTTGTGTAGTTTATCACGCTTATATACTTTTCCAATATTTAGTCGTTCTAAGACGTAGAAACGTTTATTTTAGCAGATCTTACAACTAGGCTTTGCCGTCTGTCTAAGACTAAATTTTCGGTCTTTCGTGATAACATGCGTATTTAAAATGTGTATAAAGTCCGTCTGGTGACGCGAAGCGTTTTCGTATGCTAGCATAAACACAAGCAGAAAATGGTCTTCGATGTTTCTTCCCCAAAATTTGAAAAATCCACCTAGAACATCTTTGATAGGCAACTAATCGATACAGCTTGTGTATTCTCTCTAGATCCTCATCAGACAGGGGCCAGTTTTCTTCAAGATGCCGACACACGTCTATCTTTAACACACTTTCTGAGAGCATATTGTCCCTAAATTCTTGGTGTGTTGTCTCATACTCATCGTATTCAAGCGCTTTTTCATGGCAACAAAACACTCGATTGCCTTTTTTGACAAAGTACAATGTCCACACTTACACCAACTAAGAGTTTGAAGGCGCTAAGCATTTGCTTTCTCAAATTCAGCATGTATTTCATCCTCCGACGAGGACAAGTCGCTCTGCTCACTCTCCTGTTCGGAACAGCTTTCTACACTAGTTTCGGCCTTCACTTCAGGTTCATATTGATAGGGCAGAACCTCACCCGGTTGATTTTCATGTATGTCATCCATTACAGCAAAAAAAACCCGTAAAATACGCTTTAAATGTGTTGTAACGCAGTCAATCACAAAGTATATTGTATTGTTGTTTTGACTGCTCACCAGCCAATGACGTCACTACCGCTCGAGATAATTTTATCAAAATTTTATCCAAGATGTCGCAATTTTTAAAACTTGTGCTGCAAATTTCTCAGCAACAAAATATTTTTGAGAAAAAATTTTTCTATTTTAGTTGTTAGACATCACAAAGGTTCAAAAATATGCCATAAAAATTTTCGTTGCCAATGTCCTTTAAAGCCCCCAAAATTGCCAGTATGACATCGTTTTTTGAAATCAACGCCTAAATATTGACAAAAAGTCTACTCAAGTAAACTCCCGCGTTGGGGGACGATAACATTTCTCTGTCTGGTCTATTTTTCTATACGCAGTCGTTACATAAGTTTTAAACTTATATAAACTAAAACTTATAAACTAAACTTGCTTCACTTTTCTTGACGACACGATAGAATGACCATGGAGGCATAAAAAGTATTGTTATTTATGAAAGATTTTAAGAACTTGTCTAACTTCCACAGATATCTCTAAATGCAGGACAACTTTAAACACAAATATTCACAGGGTTGTTTTTAGCTACCACCTTCATTAACCACTTTCATATACAACTGAAAATTTACGAAATGATAATATTCAACAAATTTCAGTTGTCCATAAATTATGGTTAATAAACTATATCCATGTTCATCTTTATCTTTTTATAATCCGTAGATGCAGTCAAGAGAAGAAAGGAATGACTACTACATTCAGAAAATTCTTACAGATGTTGTTACGAAGAAACTTGTTGATTTATTTATCCAAGAGTGGAGAATTAATTACGGAGTATGGGATAATACAAACGTTAGTGGTCAGAAGTTGTTCAACATTGAAAAAACAAAAAAGAAACCTTTAGACAGCCATATTTTGTCAAAGTTTCAAGATGGTGACACCAGTAATTGGGATTCTACAACACTATTTGCAGCAATACTGTATTCCAAGTCAATTGGAACAAAAATTAACTCAAAAGTTAGATCTGCCGTTGATGCACTTCGTATTGTTAGAAACAAATTAATTCATGATAATCCAGGAAGAGTATCTGATACCGAATTTGACAAAATGTTTTGTGATATTGAAAAGTCATTTAAAGATCTAGCATTTTCATTCACTGAAATTAATGAAATTAAATGTCAACGAAACAGATTTAATTCTTTTCAAGAACTTCCTTGCAAATCAAACCACGCTGTGGTTAAACGTACAGAGTTACTTAATCAAATCACAGCAGATCTCAATAACTTGCGCAGTACTAACAATAATGAACTAACATATTACTATATTTCTGGTAATCCTGGCAGTGGTAAATCTCAATTAGCTAGACAAATTTGTGAAGAAATGTATAGCTCGTTTGACTGGGAAAGGAATACGACATTTGTGATGACACTCGAAGGAAAACATATCGACTCTCTTTTGAAAACTTATGCTGAACTTTGTAAACGATTAAGCAATGATAAAACTGTTATTGAAAATATTCTCAAAGAAGCAAAAAGTAGCGCAGACAAAATTAAAAATTTTCAATTATTGCTGACACAACTACTGAAATCTTGGCAAACATGGTGGATTGTTGTAGATAACGTGGTTGAACTTCATAAAATTTATCCATTATTACCTAAAGCTGGTGATCATAGTTGGAAAAATGGACAAATTATAGTAACTGTGCAAAATACAGATGCCATACCACCAGATGGAAATTTAAATAAACACATTTCAGTTAGTCATGGTATGAACAATGAAGAATGTCGAGAACTTCTATCTGTCTTTTCTGATATGCATAATAAAGATGAAAAATTTTTAAACGATTTATCAGACAAATTAGATCGTCAACCGTTGTTCCTGGCAAATGCTGCTTCCTACGTAGGTAGTGTAAAAAGTGTAAATCCGACATTCACGTGGGAGCAATATTTTGATAAGTTGAATGAAGGAGAGCGACAAAACATGGATGGCTATTTTGAAAAAATTAACTCAACTTACTTAGGAATGAAAACTGTTATGTTAGCAGTACAAAAAAATGCCGAAGAATCCATCTTGTTGAAACATGTTTTTAAACTTTTCTCGATAATATCTTTCGATCCCTTACCACAAGATGTTATAATAGCATTTATTAAGAGCATTGATCCACAAAAATCTGCAGAAGATGTCTGTCTTCAATTAAAGCATTGTTCTTTATTCCTTCAAACGGAAAACAACGACATCCGCCTGCACAGCGTTGTACACGAAGCCATCATAAAGTATTCATCGCAGATCTTTGGCTGTAAAGAAAACGAAAATAATTCTAAAAAGTCTGCAGCTGATCTTGCCTGTCATATTGCTTGGGCACTAAATCATTTTGAAGACAGAGAAGATGAAATCAAAATAATTCCACATCTAAATAAATTCATGACAAATTCATCATTTCAACATTTCCTAAATAAGTTGATCGATGTAAAATCGTCAAAACAAAAACTTGATGAAAAAAATTGGAAAGTTGCCAAATATTTTGTAGATGTTTTGGAAAGATTTTGCAACTATAAACTAGCAATCGAACTACTTTATGAAATAACAGAAATTCAAACTAAAGTGTTAGGTGTTGATCATATTGATGTTTCATATTTGTATAACGAGCTATGTTCATTGCTTTTGAACAATGGAGAATATGAAAATGCTAAAGATTTTTTCGAGCGAGTGTTAGGTGTTGGTCATATTCGTGTTTCAGGTTCGTACAACAAGCTGGGTAACTTGCTTTCGAAGAGTGGAGAATATGAAAAAGCAAAAGATTTTTATGAACGAGCGATGGAAATTCAAACAAAAACACTTGGACCTGACAATGTTATTATTGCGACAACGTACGGCAATCTGGGTTTGGCTTATAGTCAAATTGGAGAGTACGAAAAAGCAAAACATTTCAATGAACGAGCGATAGAAACTCAAAAAAAAACACTTGGACCTGACCATTTTATTATTGCGACAACGTACAGCAATCTGGGTTGGGTTTACGATGATATGGGAGAGTACGAAAAAGCAAAAGATTTTTATGAACGAGCGATAGAAATTAATATGAAAACATTAGGACCTGACCATGTTAATATTGCGACAATGTACAGCAATCTGGGTTTGCTTTACCAAAAATGGGAGAGTACGAAAAAGCAAAAGATTTTTGTGAACAAGCGATAAAAATTCAAACAAAAACATTTGGACCTGACCATGTTAATATTGCGATAACGTACAACAATCTGGGCTCCGTTTACAGTGAAATGGGAGAGTACGAAAAAGCAAACGATTTTTATGAACGAGCGATAGAAATTGACACGAAAACATTTGGACCTGACCATGTTAATATTGCGACAAGTTACAACAATCTGGGTTTGGTTTACAATAAAATGGGAGAGTACGAAAAAGCAAAAGATTTGTATGAACAAGCCATAGAAATTCAAACAAAAGCATTGGGACCTGACCATGTTAATTTTGCAAAATTGTATGACAATCTGGGGTCGGTTTACAGTTATATGGGAGAGTACGAAAAAGCAAAAGATTTGTATGAACAAGCCATAGAAATTCAAACAAAAGCATTGGGACCTGACCATGTTATTATTGGGATAACATACAACAATCTGGGTTTGGTTTACAATGATATGGGAGAGTACGAAAAAGCAAAAGATTTTATTGAACGAGCGATGAAAATTGAAACGAAAGCATTCGGATCTGACCATGTTAAAATTGCACCAATGTACAACAATCTGGGTTTTGTTTACAGTAACATGGGAGAGTACGAAAAAGCAAAAGAATTTGATGAACGAGCGATGAAAATTCAAACAAAAGTATTTGGACCTGACCATGTTAATATTGCGCAAACGTACAACAATCTGGGTTTTGTTTACAGTAAAATGGGAGAGTACGAAAAAGCAAGAGATTTTTATGAACGAGCGATAGAAATGAAAACGAAAACATTTGGACCTGACCATGTTAATATTGCACCAACGTACAACAGTATGGGTTCGTTTTACAGCGAAATGGGAGAACACGAAAAAGCAAAAGACTTTAATGAACGAGCAATGAAAATTCAAACAAAAGCATTTGGACCTGACCATTTTAATGTCGCGACAACGTACAACAATCTGGGTTTGGTTTACAATGATATGGGAGAGTACGAAAAAGCAAAAGATTTTTGTGAACGAGCGATAAAAATTCACACAAAAGCATTTGGACCTGACCATCTTAATGTCGCGATAACGTACAGCAATCTGGGTTTTGTTTACAATAAAATGGAAGAGTACGAAAAAGCAAAAGATTTTTTTGAACGAGCGATGAAAATTCAAACGAAAGCATTTGGATCTGACGATGTTAATATTGCGCCAACGTACAGCAATCTGGGTTTGGTTTACAATGATATGGGAGAGTACGAAAAAGCAAAAGACTTTTTTGAACGAGCGATGAAAATTCAAACAAAAGCATTTGGACCTGACCATGTTAATAATGCAAAAAGGTACAATAATCTGGGTTTGGTTTACAGAAATATGGGAGAGTACGAAAAAGCAAAAGATTTTTATGAACAAGCGATGGAAATTCAAACAAAAGTATTTGGACCTGACCATGTCAATGGTGCGTCAACGTACAATAATCTGGGTTCGGTTTACCAAAATATGGGAGAGTACGAAAAAGCAAAAGATTCTTATGAGCAAGCGATAGAAATTCAAACAAAAGCATTTGGACCTGACCATGTGAATATTGGGATAACGTACTGCAATCTGAGTTTGATTTACAATGATATGGGAGAGTACGAAAAAGCAAAAGATTTTTGTGAACGAGCGATGAAAATTGAAACGAAAGCATTTGGATCTGACAATGTTAATATTGCGCCAACGTACAACAATCTGGGTTTTGTTTACAGTAAAATGGGAGAGTACGAAAAAGCAAAATATTTTTATGAACGAGCGGTAGAAATTAAAACGAAAACATTTAGACCTGACCATGTTAATATTGCACCAACGTACAACAGTATGGGTCTGTTTTACAGTAAAATGGGAGAACACGAAAAAGCAAGAGATTTTTATGAACAAGCGATGAAAATTCAAACAAAAGTATTTGGACCTGACCATGTCAATGTTGCGTCAACGTACAACAATCTGGGTTCGTTTTACAATGATATGGGAGAGTACGAAAAAGCAAAAGATTTTTTGAGTTTAAACGAGTGATGAGAAGGCTAACAGTGTTAAAGTGTTTAGAAAAATGTGGTAGAAATATTAAGTATGCCAGTTTTCGGCATATAAAACCATGGTCGTAAAAACGTTTTATTACAGAGATCTTATTAGTTTGAGTTTAAACGAGTGATGAGAAGGCTAACAGTGTTAAAAAGTTTAGAAAAATGTGGTAGAAATATTAAGTATGCCAGTTTTCGGCATATATAACCATGGTCGTAAAAACGTTTTATTACATGATTTTATTAGATTGAGTTTAAATGAGTGATGAGAATGCTAACAGTGTTAAAGTGTTTAGAAAAATGTGGTAGAAATATTAAGTATGCCAGTTTTTGGCATATATAACCATGGTCGTAAAAACGTTTTATTACAGAGATCTTATTAGTTTGAGTTTAAACGAGTGATGAGAATGCTAACAGTGTTAAAGTGTTTAGAAAAATGTGGTAGAAATATTAAGTATGCCAGTTTTCGACATATATAACCATGGTCGTAAAAACGTTTAATTACAGAGATCTTATTAATTTGAGTTTAAACGAGTGATGAGAAGGCTAACAGTGTTAAAGTGTTTAGAAAAATGTGGTAGAAATATAAAGTATGCCAGTTTTCGGCATATATAACCATGGTCGTAAAAACGTTTTATTACAGAGATCTTATTAGTTTGAGTTTAAACGAGTGATGAGAAGGCTAACAGTGTTAAAGTGTTTAGAAAAATGTGGTAGAAATATAAAGTATGCCAGTTTTCGGCATATATAACCATGGTCGTAAAAACGTTTTATTACAGAGATCTTATTAATTTGAGTTTAAACGAGTGATGAGAAGGCTAACAGTGTTAAAGTGTTTAGAAAAACGTGGTAGAAATATTAAGTATGCCAGTTTTCGGCATATATAACCATGTTCGTAAAAACGTTTTATTACAGAGATCTTATTAATTTGAGTTTAAACGAGTGATGAGAAGGCTAACAGTGTTAAAGTGAAAAATGTGGTAGAAATATAAAGTATGCCAGTTTTCGGCATATATAACCATGGTCGTAAAAACGTTTTATTACAGAGATCTTATTAATTTGAGTTTAAACGAGTGATGAGAAGGCTAACAGTGTTAAAGTGTTTAGAAAAATGTGGTAGAAATATAAAGTATGCCAGTTTTCGGCATATATAACCATGGTCGTAAAAACGTTTTATTACAGAGATCTTATTAATTTGAGTTTAAACGAGTGATGAGAAGGCTAACAGTGTTAAAGTGTTTAGAAAAATGTGGTAGAAATATTAGGTATGCCAGTTTTTGGTATATATAATCATGGTCGTAAAAACGTTTTATTACAGAGATCTTATTAATTTGAGTTTAAACGAGTGATGAGAATGCTAACAGTGTTAAAGTGTTTAGAAAAATGTGGTAGAAATATTAAGTATGTTAGTTTTCGGCATATATAACCATGGTCGTAAAAACGTTTTATTACAGAGATCTTATTGGTTTGAGTTTAAACGAGTGATGAGAATGCTAACAGTGTTAAAGTGTTTAGAAAAATGTGGTAGAAATATAAAGTATGCCAGTATATCAATGTATCCTTTCCCACACGGCTAAGAGCCAAGAAACAGTTATTGACGTTAATTAAATTTCCTTATGTACCATATATAGCTTAAACAGAGGAACTACTCTGACCAATAATAACATTTGTTGTTTGTAATAAAGAGTATAAATACTGCTCTGTAAAATAATAAAAATCAGTTCGATCACTAAGCTCACTCGTGGTTGTTACCGAAGGTATACAATATACTAAGAAAGAGATATGGCGAGTAACTCGAACTCAACAATTAGGAATACTTCTATGACTTTGAAAAATACAATGAAGACAAATTCGCGGGGAGAGACACGTGTGAAAAAGAGTCAGAGACCGGTATTTAATGTAATTTCTTTCCTGTTATGTTGATAAATATTTAATAATAATGATTCGTTCTTTATGGCATAAAGTTTATGTCACATGATAATTCGTTTAGAGGAAAGAGTTAATCAGCAAAAATGAAAGTTTGAATGCATACAAAATGAGAAAGCGTCTGGTAAAGCGCGTAAGTTTGCTTTTGTATTTTTTATTTTGTATTTTTGATAATATTTCATGTAATTTCATGATTTTAGATTGATCAAGTGTCCCAGACTAATCGAATCGGTCCTCTTGTTTTATTATATTTGGATGGGAACGGAAATGTTCGAACAGCAGGTTATTGATTTTTGAGTTCACTACTTGAACACGCATATGTTTAACTGTATTGAAACAAACCCATTCTGTGTTGTAGGAAGTCCTGGGTTGCGCGAAGATGTGTTGGACGTTGCCAGCGACATAGTATGCAAATATATTGAAAATGATTTGTGGTCTTCAATAACGTCATCTGGTGAATACTGTTACTGCTCTTTTAATTCTCTGATATTAAAAATAAGCATCACTGTTATATATATATATGATCATTTGACATATACAATTGTGAAGTTTAAAATATCTATATAGCAAACAATGAAAACGTATTGAAGTCAAAAAGAGTTCGACCTGATTTAATCGACTCTGAAGCTTTTGATGAAATAAGAAGAGGAAAATGGTCGTGTGAAGAACTCAGAAACCTCGTGCTTAACATGGTTCTTCCTTCATCAGCATTTTCAGGCACAAACATGTTTCATTTTTAAATAAGTTTCATGTTTGTAAAACATAAGCAGAGACAAATATTTTTATACTGCTACAGGGTCTAAGGGAGGAAACAAATGGCCTGTAGCCCGAATTAAAAATTTTTGGTCCAAAGCAGAACAACCATCTTTTTGGCCGTTACACATACCGTTTTGTTCACCATCAGCAAGAAAAGAGATTCCACTAGGTTTAATTAATGATTTATTTATGTCTTTTATTTTATGTCTATTTATTTATGTTTTCTAAACCATGTTTAAAATTGATTGCAATTCTTCCAGATGGCAACAACGATAAGAAAATTTTCAGGAAAGTTCTCAACAAGGCAGAACTAACCGAAATCGTCCTTTCCTATTGGAATTACATTACAGACGTAAGATAATACTTTGAATAAATGTAAAAAATGTAAAAAAAGAATTGTATTTTTACAATACGTTCTCCACACTTTATGTGATTATTACACATCCTATTAATAAATTGATGTGTACAGTTTAATGAAGAAAACATCGAAGAAGAGTACCAGGACATGGAAAAAGAAACTGAAATAGAGGAAATAAACGAGGAGAAAGCAGACGAGTTCAAACAAGAAAAGAAGCATGAAGATATCGACGAAGAAGAAATTCAAGATGAAGATATGGACTACGAGCACAACAAAGAGAAATATCTTAAAGAAGTAGGAAACGAAGAAGACGAAATGGGACTAGAGAAACATTTCATGATGCAAGAAAAGGAACGAGATTAATATTTAGATAACTTTTTCTTCACAATCTCCCTGCTGTGTCTTCCTATTGTCAAGAGCAAAATTCCCTCGTTGAACCAGTTCTGGCAGACAAGATAGATATCCACGGGACGAATTTTGAGACACCGCAGGTAAGTTGTGTGGCAAACGCCACTGACCGTCCTTGAATTCGAACGGACTTATCGCCTTTTGTAGCAATTCCTTTAGCAGCGGTTGAATAGTAATTGGAATTTCTTCGCTAGTCTCAATGACGTTAAACAGTAGGGGCACTTCTTCATGAAGAAGTTTTAAATCAGTGGAAGGATTGTCTTTTGGATTGGCTCCATCAGACATCCTTATCAAGAGGTCCAAAACTTCTTCTTTGGCTGGCACAATTGCGCATACTGGTTTGTGAGAAGCCAATGCTGCCATTAACCTTCTGCACGAGTTTGGACAACTAGTGATGAATTCTTGTTTCTCTAACCATTCAAGTAGAGTCCTAAGCCCCTATGAAGATATCTATAAATACGAGAAATTATAGTATAAAATGAGCTCTGGAGTGGTCATACAAAATTTTGTACTCGTAATAAATTCTTCTTACTTCAGATTTTAATTCTTGAAATACGTCCCAACTTAGCTTTGAATCACTGTACTTCTTTAATAAAGCTCGCACATTTCTCCTGTTGATGAAATTGCGCATTTCAAACCTAGTATTGGACAAAAGAAAACAGGTTGTTCTTTTTAAAACTATAAGCTGTGTACAAAAACAAAGTGAGAGAAGTCACCATCATGCATAAAATGCTTTCTGATACGTAGATGAACACTCGTATTTACTAATTAGCAGGCCTGTATATACTATATATTACAGATAAACTTCAAAAATACTTATCTTCCATCTAGCAATCCAGTATCAGACTCTCTTAAATTATTTGGTAAGAAAGTTTTCTGTATTCCAAGAGTTGTTCCATCCATCACCACCTTTTGGGGAATTCTTCCACATAATTCACAAAAAAAACCCATTGTCAAAATCAATATTAAGCAACCTTAATAAGAGAAAATTCAATAACTTAATAAAATAAGCGATCACTATCTCAATGGAATATTCATATTTTAAAGCTGAAAATGAAATGATGCTTACCGTATCATGGCAATGATAGCGAGACGAAACTTGGCGTAAGTTATTTCCTTTGGGAAATTAAAATTACCAGAAGACACTTGCCTTTGTACATACGCAACATAATATTTGTACATAGGTAAACTGAACAAGAATAAAAAAGAAAAAACATTCAAAAGACATAGGGCGAGAAAATTAAATAATGGACAAACGTAGCTACTAATGCTTCAAAAAATTTTCATTAAAAAGTACCTCGACGTTATGAAAAGCCGATTGGAATCTTTTAGAACGGCATGAGATATTGCATATGATCCAAACCATACAATCCTGTTTTCAATGCCATCATAATGGTTTTTCGTAGCACAAGAGGAGCAAGGTCTACAATACACAAAATAATTATGATTTAAGTCAAATAATTATGAAGCAAAGCGTACCCTATAACAAATCAGAACTTACCCTTCACATCATGGATTGAATAAAAGTACGCAACTGAACACACGTCTACGTACAACCATTCATCTTGAATAGAACGCTTATCCCACTCTGCACCACAAGAGCAAATACCACTTTCAGATGGCGCCAAAATTTTATGACCATTTTTTTCAGGAAGATCAGTAAAATCGCTTGCATCATTCTCATTGCCTAAAATAATTAAATTGTAATATATACAAAATGCTAGAAAGTGCTAAATACCATACCGATAAAGGAAATAGTACATGTAAAGCTAAAAGGATGTTCACCATTGCAGATTATCTTGCATACCTGTTTCAAATAAAGAAACCTTTTCTTTGCTAAGTGTAGCCAATTCAAAATAGTCTCGCATCTCTGGTGTAATTCCAAAGGAAAACTTAAAAAGTGCCAATGGAGAATCCATTTCATCCTCGTCAACGATTTGCATGGCTTTTGCACGGGTTGTCACATGAATGCAATGATATGACGAGCAGCTGCAACATTTTAACTCGGGCTGGGGCGGCGTTACTTTTGAATACACAAAAGTACAAACCCCCCATGGACTATTCACTGGTTTTACAGCAATCTACTGAACCTCCCTGCACACTGCACTAAACAAGTCCTAAAATATGTAAAATCATTTATCTTAAGGTTGTATTATGTGTGTGTATGTGTATGCAGCTTAATAATTATGATTAATTATGACTTCACAAAATCCTTAGAAAGTGCTTAATATATATATCAGACACGTAAAGCTAATGGTGAATATGACTTTACTATTTTTATCATACATTTAGTTTATACTACTTAATGTATGTACTGTAGGTATATGGCTATGTATGTATTTGAGTATGAATGTGTATACCTCAATAGTCATAAACAAATTCAATTTGCCCTATTGGCTATCCCCCTAATAGCTTTATAGAAGCTCCTGAACTTAAGCACAGGATGTATGATAACAAATTGTGGGGTACTAGAAGGTTGAGAAACTGTACGTGTATTTGTACAAAAAAGTTATTTTCACAAAACAAAATATACTTCTTCAGGTCGCATCTCATGGTAGGAATGATCATTGAAAACAGACTGCATCATGGATGTGGATTCTGCATTCATAAAAGAAATTGGATGAGATAAATATGTTGTGTGAATAATCATTCACAAGTTTTAACAATATTTTTGCTTGTAAAGCTATGCTAGTTGACGTCCACATGTAATAAGAACAATGTCTCACAAGGGTCTTGTAAAAACACAGAAGGATGACTTCACAAGGGTTTGAAATGTACAATAAACTGATATTTAAGGATGAAGACATTTCCTCCCATACAACATGAAGAACTTTACATTGAAAAAATAAGCCAAATACAAATTTGAGACATTCACTTCATGCAATGTTAGATTAATATGTAACAAGTTCTCACATCTTTGACAAGGATCTTCAAACAAATAGTATGTAAGTGTAAGTCAAAATTTGGTGAAGCTGTTCAGACACCTTATATCCTGAAAGAGTAACACACAATACTTACTTTTTTCAATAAAATCTTTGGCTTCAATACCAAACTTTCTATCATACACAACCAGATATTTTTCCATTGCTAATATGTGTATGCAACTAAGATATGGTATATCTGACAAGTATAAAAATGTTGTTTGGCCTGTTTTAATAATTTCATTTCAGTAACATCTATTTTACATACACCTTTTTTGTCCACCATCTGCCTGCTGATTATAAACAGTTATTAACTGAAAAACCTTCTGCTCCACAATCTGGCTGCTGATTATAAACAATTATTAACTGAAAACCTTTTTTGTCCACCATCTGCCTGCTGATTATAAACAATTATTAACTAAAAAACCTTCTACTCCACAATCTGGCTGCTGATTATAAACAATTATTAACTGAAAACCTTTTTGTCCACCATCTGCCTGCTGATTATAAACAATTATTAACTGAAAAACCTTCTACTCTACCATCTGGCTGCTGATTATAAGCAATTAGTAACTGAAAACCTTTTTTGTCCACCATCTGCCTGCTGATTATAAACAATTATTAACTGAAAAACCTTCTACTCCACAATCTGGCTGCTGATTATACAAAAGATGGTTCCTGATTGATTTGTTTTTTTTGACGACGTATTTGACGACGTCAGTAAATCAAATTTATTTGGTGCCTACCTTTTATCGTATCATACGCTGTGATGAAACGATGAAACAGATGAATGATAAACATACGTGGTACGTTGGTCGTTCGACTCGTTACATAATACCTAAGGTAAAGTGGCATTTTTTTGTGATTACACATGACACATCCTCACGTTGTAAAAGGAGAGTTGCAAGCTCCAACTTAAGGTAAGCTACAGCTATACACATGTATCATCTTTTATGTTATGTTTCATAATTATTTGCAATTGCAAACTATCAAAAATGGAGTGTGATACGGAAAAATAAAACTGACGTCTCGCGAATATTTTATGGCTTCGCAGCGCAAAGTCGAAAATCCGCCGAGCAAAATTGAAAATCCGCCGCGCAAAATTTCTAAAAAAAATTGATCTAGCTTGCGCAGTTTGCATACTTTCCAGTCTGGCATATGCTTAGTGTGATGAAGGAATTAAACTTGCAATACCTTCGTATTGTTATTCCACATACCGCTTTTCACGAATAATAAAGAACTTAAAACGTTAAGATATTTAGCTTTATTATAGAGCAATACAATGGAAGGAGAACAAGAAAGTTGACAATGCGCATACGATGATGTTTTTTTACAAAAAAGTTAAAGTGGGTAAAATCGTATTTCGCGGCAAGACGATAAAACAATTCGCGCGAGTAACGATGGTGACATTTAATATTTATCTTTCAGTTCACGTTTCACGTGACAAATTTCAATATGGTTTCTGTGCTCCGATCTCTCGATTTAGCTGCAAGTCCCAAATCGTTGGTGTCTTATCAAAGTGATTCTTCTGATGAAGAGAGAAGTAATAATGATAAATCTAAAGAAGGTGAAAAGTCAATCGAGAGCACTGTCAATATGGATGCTCTAAAATCTAAGTTTCTTTTAAACAGCGCGCCAATTGTTGATGTTTAGGTAAAGTGTAATAGTTTTTATCCAAAGTCCTAACTAGGCAACCACCAACACCAAGGCTAAATCTATGAATCGATTTGCTATGATAAGGAATTGAGAAGACACATCGATCTTTCAATGAAAGAAGTTACATTTAATGCAAAGTATGAGGAACTCTTTTCTGCTTCGGTACGTTAATAATTTAATCATTATAAAGTAAATGGTTTGAACCCGGGAGTATCGTTATATGTTTGTAAATGATGATCGTCCAGGTTAATAAAGTCCTGAGAAGGACTGTTTTTGATGTTGTTGACTGACGTTTCGACAACCTTAGCGGTAGTCATCTTCAGAGTCAAATGAGGAGTAAACGTCAGGTTAGCCGTATTTATTGTCTGGTTCTTACGTCATTGTATTGTGTGTACAGGTGCAGGGAATGTGTATTGTCATTGTGGATTAGTGTGAAGTGAAATATTTTATTTTTAGTTGTGATGTGTGATTTAGGTGTGACGTTTTAGTTGTAATGTGTGGGTGTCAATTGTGTATTGTCATTGTGAATTAGTTTGAAGTGTAATGTTTTTAGTTGATCGTTTGTTTGTATTGTGAATAAGTCGTTTGTAAGGTGCCGGTAATTGCTGTGATCTGTTCAGGGGGGTTTGTTCCAAGTTGGTATACCAACTTTCTAATGTAAGCCGTTGTCTATAGTCAGTACTGTAAGTGATGCATTTTGCCGAGTCCCAGTCAATGTTGTGCTTTGTGATTCGGTGATGTTCGGCAATGTGATTAGTTTTGTCTTGTTTCTTAGTAGCTCGTTTGTGCTCAGTAAGTCTTATGTTTAAGTTCCTGCCAGTTTCCCCGATATAGGAGGCGTGGCAGTCGGAGCAATTTATTTTGTAAACTGCACCTTGTCGTTCGTTGGGTTGTTCTTTGTCCTTTATGTTCGTTAGTACTTGTCGTAATGTTGTGATTGGTTTATGTGCGACACGTATGTTGTATGGTCGTAAGATACGCGAGATAGTCTCAGACGTACCTTTGATGTAAGGTATCGTTGCTGTTGTCACTGAGTTGTTCGTTTCGTTGGGTTCGTTGGGTTTGTAAGTGTTGCGTTTGATAAAGTCAGAGTTATAGTTGTTTTGTCAAAACACGTTTGAGATAGTTGTTTTCGTTTTGTAGAGCGTCCGGTGAATCACATATGATTTGTGCACGTCTTGTTAATGTTCTGATTGTGGTGGCTTTGTGTGATGTAGGGTTGTAAGATGATTGGTCTAGTAGTCGGTCAGTATGTGTTGGCTTGCGATAAACTGTTGTTCCTAGTTTTGATTGTCATGTTTTACCAAACAGTCGAGAAAAGGAAGAGTTCCGTTTTTTTTCGACATCTTTGGTAAATTGTATGTGGCTGTTCTGTTTGTTGATGTGAGTATGGAAGTCATCAATCTCGTCTGCATGTAGTGCTGTAATTGTGTCATCTACGTAGCGAAACCAAAAAGGTAGTGCATGTTTGTAAGTCATGAGTGCCCGTTCCCCTATAGATTGCATTACAATTTCAGCAACTACAACAGAAACGGGCGAGCCCATTGCTGTCCCATGTAATTGTTTGTAGTGTGTTCCTTTGTATTGGAAGTAAGTCGAGGTGAGGCAGAGCTCTAGTAACTCCATAATGTCTTCTGTCGGTAATGGCAGTACGTCCGTGGTGTTTGTAATGAGGGTTTTTGTACAAGTAAGTGCCAGATTAAGTGGAAGACTGGTGAACAGTGATTTCACATCAAAAGACACTAGTATATAGTTGTCTGGTATTTGTATAGTGCACAGTTTTTTAATGAAAGTTTCAGTGGATTGTAGCTTGTGTTTTGATTTGTTTGTGAGTGGTTGCAGTATGTTAGTCAAGTACTTTGAAAGTACTTGAAAGTACTTTGAAAGTACTTTGTAAGAATATTTGCCGAAAGCGAAATATATCTTTCACTTTTTTGATAACATGTTCAGGTAAATGTGATTTTAGATATTCTTGTTAGGAGAGAACTCTCTCTTTGATTGAAGTGTGAAATGTAAAATATTGTCCATTCTTTTTCTTCCAAAATAAGTGTAACTGTTTTCAGTTTGCTGCTGAAAAAATAGTAATTTATCTTTTTGTGAAACGACAATCCTTGCACATTGTAATGTTTTTGTCTGACTTTAGTCTTCACGTCTACTTTTGTGTCTACCTTTTTGTTTCCATTAATCTTCGTCTTTTTGTCAATCTTTCGTGTATCTTTTTGTATATCTTTTTGCCTTTATTTGTGTCTACCTTTTTGTCTATGTTTTTGTCCACCTTTGGGTCTACCTCAGCTTCTATACCTTTGCGTCTCTCTTTTGTTATATATTCTCTTTATAATATGAAGAGTTATATCACAGGAAGAAGAAAGTCTCAAAGGAAACTCACAAGTTTCTATTCTGGGCCCTTTGTTATTCCTAATATATTTCAACGACTTGGCTAATGTGATACAATCCTTTAGTTAGGTGATGAGAACTTACAATATAAAGGAAGTTTATAAATACCTTGGCACAGAAATAGACTGTCTTAATCTGAATTCTATTTTAATAAATGCTGCGTCGTTTATGTTTAAATAGTGCGCGAAAATGATAAAAAATGAATGAATCAAAATACCATACATTCTTAAAAAGTGGCATCAAATTCCTTTGGCACAAAAGTTGTACTTTTTCTAACTTCAACTTGTTTTTTATGTCAAAGGTAACATTCGAAGCCATTCATAAAATTAATGCATGTACGGAATTCTTTTAATATTTAATAAACCTTGAGGTAAGAGTTTAATCTTTTCCTATGCCAAGAGATGAATTCAATTATGTCTTCATTGCGATGTTGTTATCTTTACAATAGTTCAGAAAAATTTTATGATTAGGATAGAGATGACACAAAAAAAAAATAAAATCACACTTCAAGTCAACTATTGTTTTGATCGACGAAAATTGAAGTCAATGACGAAAGATAAAACAAATTAATGTTTAAAATAATTATTAAAGCGTATTATATTTGAGATATAGAAACAAATTTAATGCTAATTAAGGGTTTCAAAATCTAGTACAACTTGATTAACAGCGGGTAAAACAGTGCTCTATGCTTTTATTTCTTCCAAATGCGTCACAGTGTAGTTAAACACCTCGATCGATTTCAGCGTAGTGAGCGTACACTTGATGATCTTTGCAAAATTTCTTTTGTAATCAAAATATCTTACAATATGTCTCAAAAGAACTGGTCATCTTTGAAATCAGCCGATAGTTTGAAATTTGCATGATTCAGCGGCAATGATTGATCTCCACGCTAGGAGGTATAAATGTATCTAAAATAAGTTTCTTGACTGGGATTTTTAATGCATTGTAGCTTCTATATTATACGTATGTAGTTATTAATTTATTATGTATTTAACTACGTTTAATTAAGTCTCCTTGAGGATCAATTTTTGCTGAATCATGGAAATTGTAAATGTCAGATAAGTTCAAATATTGTCAAGGTTGAAAAATGAGACATCACCATGAAATATGTGATAGTCAGTCAAAAAAACAGCAAAATCAAAGTGAAGCACCTTTCATGTTGATGGGAAAATGCTCAAAGTTGAAAGAATGCGACTTTGACAAAAATTTTTCAACGCGCTTGCATTTCACTCATTTTCTTTCCAAATCGCAACAAACAACATAGCATTCCATAGCTAGAACCTAGAACTTTTTTTTAAATATTTAAAACTACAGTTATTTATTCAGTAATTTACACACATCAGCAAGTAAAAGTTGAATTAACTTTTTTTGGAACACCCTGTATCAAGAACTTAGATCCCCAGACCGTGTGGGTTCCCCTTTGGATAAATCAACTTAAATGTATATTTTATTAAATACGTGTATAGTTTACGGAAAATAAAAAAATAAGAATCAAAGGAAGATATAAGAATCCAGCCCTTTAATAACACCATGACAACTCTTAGTGTATAGCAAGTGTACCAGTGCTATGAAAATAAATATTTTGTTGTTTAATTAATTTTTCGTTACTCACTACACTACATACGAGATGACAACAGTAAATATGGGCCAGACACACAGAATTAGAGTAAAGCTCCATTTTTCTTGGCTACATCACTACCTAAAACATACATAAAGATAAATTACATTGTCAGGTGGTCACCAATGCCAGATCTATCAAAACGCTTGTCAGCAAAGGATTCTTATTGTGTTTAGTCTGCGGAAAGGAATGGATTTGTGGCGCCATTTCAAGGAGCAAGATGCTTTGTTAGCCATGGCTTTTGGGTATGATTTCTTTCCACTTTAGCTGACCAGCAACAGTTGTATTTTCAATTTCTGCAGGCAAAGGTTTAAATGGAGTGTTTGTTTGGTTTTTTTTGTTGTTTAATAAGAAAAATCTTAACATGTACATTATTTACATGTAAAATTTACAGTGCTTAGTAAGTTTTCTAAACAGCCCAAACACTGGCTTTGCTGTGCAAATATACAAATTTCTTTTCACTGTGATAAATGGTAAAAAATATAATTTGTATTTAAAAGAATTGTGGGTGCAGAGAATGTCAATAGTTTGGTTACTTGATTCAACATTTCTTTTTAAATACGGTTGGGGATTTACACCTTAATTGTTTTGACAATGTTCATTTTTCGCTTACATTTAAGTGCAGTGAATCTCGTTTTTAATTTATATTTAATTTTCTTGGGATCAGAGATAACCACAACATTTTATATTGTGATTTTGTGGTAAAATAATTTATGTAGCTGGGAGAATCAGTTTCAAAGCAATGTAAAGTATAAACTAAAGCAAAAGCAAGACATGAATTTCATAGCAATGAAAATGACTCATTGCTGTCCATATCAGTAGTAAAGACACCAGTAGAAATGACTCCTTTACTGTTCTTATCAGATGTAAAGACATTAGCCAAAAATGTCTGGCCATGTCATTCACTCCTGAATATGGATATATACTTTAAAGGACGGTGTTGCCCTACAAATTCATTCCTAATATAAACTTTTTATAGTTTGTACAGAAGTTCTCTAATGTTCAAGTAATGTTTAGGAAAAAAAAATGAATATCTAAAATGAAAAGAAAAATTGATTTTCTTCTTCATTGAAAATGAGCTACAAATTCATTTCCTCTTCTTCTATCTCCTTGTACGTTTTCTCAAAGACAGGAGTATTTTAGCTTCTAGCGAATAAAAAATAAAAGATAAATAGAAGTCCAAATGCTTCAGTTTCAATATCTATAGTTTGTTTATAACCAAATGAAGATTGTTGTATTTTATTGCAGTACATGGTCAGGTCCAAATGCTTTCGTTACAATTTTCATCGCTCTTTCACTAAAATCTTTTGCTTTTTCGTACTCTCCCATATCTCTGTAAACCAAACCCAGATTTCTGTACGTTGTTGCAATATAAACATGATCAAGTCCAAATGCTTTTGTTTTAATTTTCATCGCTCGTTCATAAAAATCCTTTGCTTTTTCGTACTCTCCCATTTTACTGTAAACCAAACCCAGATTGTTGTACGTTGACGCAACATTAACATGGTCAGGTCCAAATGCTTTCGTTTTAATTTTCATCGCTCGCTCATAAAAATCTTTTGTTCTTTCGTACTCTCCCATTTTACTGTAAACCAAACCCAGATTGTTGTACATTGTCGCAATATTAACATGGTAAGGTCCAAATGATTTTGTTTGAATTTTTATCGCTCGTTCATAAAAATCTATTGCTTTTTCGTACTCTCCCATTTCTTTGCAAACAGAACCAAGTTTGTTGTACATTGTCGCAATATAAACATGGTCAGGTCCAAATGTTTTTGTTTGAATTTCTATCGCTCGTTCATAAAAATCTTTTGCTTTTTTGTTCTCTCCCAAATTATTGTAAACCAAACCCAGATCGTTGTACGTTGTCGCAATATAAACATGGTCCGGTCCAAATGCTTTCGTTTTAATTTTCATCGCTCGTTCATAAAAATCTTTTGCTTTTTCGTACTCTCCCATATCTTTGTAAACAGAACCAAGATTGTTGTAGGTTGTCGCAATATAAACATGGTCAGCTCCAAATACTTTTGTTTTAATTTCTATCGCTCGTTCATAAAAATCTTTTGCTTTTTCGTGCTCTCCCATTTTTCTGTAAACCGAACCCAGATTGTTGTACTTTGTCGCAATATTAACATGGTCAGGACCAAATGTTTTTGTTTGAATTTCTATCGCTCGTTCATAAAAATCTTTTGCTTTTTCGTACTCTCCCATATCATCGTAAACCGAACCCAGATTGTTGTACACTGTTTCAATAATAACATGGTGAGGTCCAAATGATTTTGTTTGAATTTTTATCGTTCGTTCAAAAAAGTCTATTGATTTTTCGTACTCTCCCATTTTACTGTAAACCGAACCCAAATTGTTGTACGTTGTCGCAATATTAACATGGTCAGATCCAAATATTTTCGTTTCAATTTTTATCGCTCGTTCATAAAATCTTTTGCTTTTCGTACTCTCCCATTTTATTGTAAACCGAACCAGATTGTTGTACGTTGTCGCAATATTAACATGGTCAGGTCCAAATGCTTTGTTTGAATTTCTATCGCTCGTTCATAAAATCTTTTGCTTTTCGTACTCTCCCATATCATTGTAAACCAAAAGATTGTACGTTGTCGCAATATTAAATGGTCAGGTCCAAATTTTTTCGTTTGAATCGCTTTCATATCTTTTGCTTTTCTCTCCCATATCTTTGTAAACCGAACCGAGATTGTTGTACATTGACACAATATCAACATGGTCAGGTCCAAATGCTTTTGTTTGAATTTCTATCGCTCGTTCACAAAACTCTTTTCCTTTTTCGTACTCTCCCATTATTCTGTAAACGAAAGCCAGATTGTTGTACGCTGTCGCAATATTAACATGGTCAGGTCCTGATGTTTTCGTTTGAATTTCTATAGCTCGTTCATAAAAATCTTTTGCTTACTCTCCCATATCTTGTAAACCAAACCCAGATTGTTGTACGTTGTCGCAATATTAACATGGTCAGGTCCAAATGCTTTTGTTTGAATTTCTATCGCTCGTTCATAAAATCTTTTGCTTTTCGTACTCTCCCATATCATTGTAAACCCAGATTGTTGTACGTTGTCGCAATATTAACATGGTCAGGTCCAAATCCGTTTCAATTTCATCGCTCGTTCATAAAATCTTTTGCTTTTCGTACTCTCCCATATTTGTGTAAACCAGATTGTTGTACGTTGTCGCAATATTAACATGGTCCAAATTTTTGTTTTCAATTTCTCGCTCGTTCAAAAAATCTTTTGCTTTTTGTACTCTCCCATTTGTAAACCGAACCCAGATTGTTGTACGTTGTCGCAATATTAACATGGTCAGGTCCAAATGTTTGAATTTCTTTCGCGCGTTTCATAAAATCTTTTGCTTTTCGTACTCTCCCATTTCACTGTAAACCGAACCCAGATTGTTGTACGTTGTCGCAATATTAACATGGTCAGGTCCAAATGCTTTTGTTTGAATTTCTATCGCTCGTTCATAAAATCTTTTGCTTTTCGTACTCTCCCATATCACTGTAAACCAAACCCAGATTGTTGTACGTTGTCGCAATATTAACATGGTCAGGTCCAAATGCTTTGTTTGAATTTCTATCGCTCGTTCATAAAATCTTTTGCTTTTCGTACTCTCCCATTTTCCAAACCCAGATTGTTGTACGTTGTCGCAATATCAACATTGTCAGGTCCAAATGTTTTTGTTTGAAATTCTATCGCTCGTTCATGAAAATCTTTTGCTTTTTCGTACTCTCCCATTTTACTGTATACCGAACCTAGATTGTTGTACGTTGTCGCAATATTAACATGGTCAGCTCCAAATACTTTTGTTTTAGTTTCTATCGCTCGTTCATAAAAATCTTTTGCTTTTTCGTACTCTCCCATCTCAATGTAAACCAAACCCAGATTGTTATACGTTTTTGCAATATTAACATGGAAATTTCCAAATGCTTTTGTTTGAGTTTTCATTGCTCGCTCGAGAAAATCTTTAGCATTTTCATATTCTCCATTCTTCCAAAGCAATTCACCCAGCTCGTTGTACGAATATGAAACATCAATATGATCAACACCTAACACTTTAGTTTGAATTTCTGTTATTTCATAAAGTACTTTCGTTGCAAGTTGATAGTTGTAAAATCTTTCGAAAACATCTACAAAATATTTGGCAAATTTCCAATTTCTTTCATTAAGTTCTTGTTTTTTAATGAAAAAAAAGAAATATTTTACATCGATCAACTTATTTAGGAAATGTTGAAATGATGACTTTGTTATGAATTTAATTAGATGTGGAATTATTTTGATTTCATCTTCTCTGTCTTCAAAATGATTTAGTGCACAAGCAACTTGACAGGCAAGATCAGCTGCAGACTTTTTAGAATTATTTTTGTTTTGTTTACAGCCAAAGGTCTGCGATGAATAATTTATGATGGCTTTGTGTACAAAGCTGTGGAGGCGGATGTCGTTGTTTTCCGTTTGAAGGAATAAAGAACAATGATTTAATTGTAGACAGACATCTTCTGCAGATATTTGTGGATCAATGCTTTTAATAAAATGTATTATAACATCTAGTGGTAAGGGATCGAAAGATATTATTGAGAAAAGTTTAAAAACATGTTTTAACAAGATGGATTCTTCAGCATTTTTTTGTACTGCTAACATAACAGTTTTCATTCCTAAGTAAGACGTGTTTATTTTTTGAAAATTGCCATCGATGTTCTCTCGCCCTCCTTCATTCAACTTATCAAAATATTGCTCCCAGGTGAATGTCGGATTTACACTTTTTACACTACCTACGTAGGAAGCAGCATTTGCCAGGAACAACGGTTGACGATTTAATTTGTCTGATAAATCCTTTAAAAATTTTTCATCTTTATCATGAATATCAGAAAAGACAGATAGAAGTTGTCGACATTCTTCATTGTTCATACCATGACTAACTGAAATGTGTTTATTTAGATTTCCATCTGGTGGTATAGCATCTGTATTTTGGACAGTGACTATAATTTGACCATTTTTCCAGCTATGATCACCAACTTGAGGTAATAATGGATAAATTTTATGAAGTTCAATCACGTTATCAACAACAATCCACCATGTTTGCCATAATTTCAGCTGTTGTGTCAGGAATAATTGAAAATCTTTAATTTTTTCTTCGCTGCTTTTTGCTTCTTTTGAGATATTTTCAATGACAGTTTTATCATTGCTTAATCGTTTACAAAGTTCTACATACGTTTTCAAAAGAGAGTCGATATCTTTTCCTTCGAGTGTCATCACAAATGTCGTATTCTTTTCCCAGTCAAACGAGTTATACATTTCTTCACAAACTTGTCTAGCTAATTCAGATTTACCACTTCCAGGATTACCAGAAATATAGTAATATGTTAGTTCATTATTGTTAGTACTGCGCAAGTTATTGAGATCTGCTGTGAGTTGATTAAGTAACTCTGTACGTTTAACCACATCGTGATTTGATTTGCAAGGAAGTACTTGAAAAGAATAAAATATGTTTCGTTTACTTTTTATTTTGATAATTTCAGTGAATGAAAATCCTAGATCTTGAAATGAGTTTTCAATATCACAAAGCATTGTTTTAAATTCGTCATCAGCAACTTTTCCTTTTTTTTCATGGATGAAGTTGTTTCTGATAACACGAAGTTTATCCACAGCAGCCTTAGATTTGGAGTCAAGTTTTGTTCCAACTGAGTTGGAAAACAATATTGCTGCAAATAGTGTCGTACAATCCCACTTACTGGTGTCACCATCTTGAAATTTTGACATAATGTGTTTGTCAAGAGGTTTCTTTTTTGTTTTTTCAATATTGAACAACTTCATACCACTGACGTTTGTATTTTCCCATTCTCCGTGGGATTTTTTGTAATGAGTGTTCCATTCTTGAATAAAAAGATCAACAATTTTCTTTTCAACAACATCTGTAAGTATTTCTTGCAGATACGAGTTATTAATTTTTTCTCTTGACTGCATCTAAGGGTCATAAAATTATTAATATCAACATAAATTGGTTCTTTAAGTAGAGTTTATAGACCACTAAAATTGTTGAAGATCAAACTTAGCTACGTAATGTTACAATTTTACTTGTACGTGTAAATGATTATCGAGGATGGCAGCTGAAAACAACGCAATTGGACATTTTAGTTTTCCTGCATTTAGGCATTTGGCTACATTGTGGCAGTGGCGTCGCCAGGATTTTGCGAGTGGAAAGGCACAAAAATTGTTCCAGGTCAGTCACTAGCGAAAGGCTCTAAAAATTGCTTCTGCATTTGGAAATTTTTGAAATATTTGTAACAACATGAATAGTTTCATTTTCTTAACTTCCCAGTTTAACTACATGTTTGTAAATGATGATCGTCCAGGTTAATAAAGTCCTGAGAAGGATTGTTTTTGTTGTTGTTGACTGACGTTTTGACAACCTTAGCGGTAGTCATCTTCAGAGTCAAATGAGGAGTAAACGTCATGTTAGCCATATTTGTTATCTGGTTCTTACGTCATTGTATTGTGTGTACAGGTAATGTGTATTGTCATTGTGAATGTGTGTATAGAATGCTATACACATCTAATAGAATGCTTCCCTTTACAGTAAAGTTGTGTGAATGCTGTAAGTACTACATTAATGCCATGTGCTTCTTTTTCAATTTTGAATGATGCATATGAAGGCTCTTATCTAAAATTCAAATGGGGATCACAGCCAATATTTAGGGGATACGTGCCCCTTTTCCCAGGCCCCCCTTTATCGACGCCACTGCATGTTGGAATGAAAATGGAGGTACTGAGTTATATTATCACTTAGGAAGGTGTTTAACAATTTGTCTAACTGACACACAAAGTTTGTACAGGCACTCTACTTGAAACAATGACTACTTAGTCAGCTGTACATTGGAAATATATATGAAGCAGAGTGTTTAGCCTATGCATTTAAAAAAAGTCCTATTTCTTATAGAAGATCTGATTGCCTTCTAGAATTAATTACAAAGACAACCTTGAGAAATTTTTCAAGTATTCTTCCTTTTCAATAAAAATCATGTAAAATATAGGACATATCTTGTAAGTCATGTTTTATAGAAAAAAACAAACAATAAATTCATTCTAGTTGTATAGAATACAGAATTGAGACTGTGTCCAGGCGAACATTAAATAAACAAATTAATTGAACACTCTAAAATGCTGTGGTAAATTCTGTTATTACCATTTTATAGTATTCTGTATGTAATCGACAAGCAAATTTCATGTAAATGCCATAAAATGTACAATTTAGTTATTGCGTTTCTTTGCATGCATTTAAAGTTTTTTAAAGCCTGCCTAACACTTGAAATGTTTTGGAAAATCTAGAAAATAACAAAAAAGTTCAAAAAACTTGTCTTAAATTTTGTTGAGTCATGCTCATAAACCACAGAAACATGTTAAGGAAATAGTATGTGTGTAGTTTGCTTTACCAATGTATCCGTTCCCACACGGCTAACAGCCAAAGTACATTTATTAACGTTAGTTAAATTTCTTTATGTACCATATATAGCTTAAATAGAGGAGCTATTCCGACCAACAATAATATTTGTTATTTGTAATAAAGACTATAAATACTGCACTGTAAAATAATAAAAATCAGTTGGACCATTAAGTTCACTCGTGGTTGTTACTGAAGGTAAAGAGTATATTACGAAAAGAGATATGACGAGTAACTCGAACTCAACAGGTTATGGGCCGAGGAGAAGTTTGCTTTTCTATGGAAGCGAAAGCAAATACGAGTTATGGGAAGTAAAACTCTTGGGCTATATGCGTCTTTAAAAACTGTACGACGTATTTATTAAATCAACAAGTGAGAGAGAAAACCAGCAGCTTCAAAACTGGCTGACGCTTTTGCAGAGTTCGTCCAATGTCTGGACGACAGAAGTTTGTCTCTTGTGATTTGGGAGGCGAAAGACAATGGACGGAGAGCTATAGAAATCGTCAGACATTACTATCAACGCAGAGGAAAGCCTCGCATCATCACTCTTTGCACGAAACTCATTTCACTGAAGAAACGTGACGACGAGACAGTCACAGATTATATATTGCAAGCGGAACGATCGGCAACAGCCTTACGAGAAGCAAGAGGAGATAATAAGTGATGCACTACTCATTGCAATGGTTTTAAAGGGTCTGCCAAGCACGTACGGCGTCTTTGCTACCGTAACAGTTCAAAGGGAAAGACAAATGACATTTACGGAATTTAAAAACTCGTTACGAAGTTATGAAGAAAATAATAAACCATTGTCACCAAAAACTGAGGTAGGCCATGGCCTACTCATATTTACACGGCCTGATATCTTGCCATAGCAAGGCCACAAATGCAACGCCATTGAATTTTCAAATATTCAATAAGTTTTCTACTCAAATCTAAAAATAGAGCATGACAAGCAGAAAGTTTTTCATGAATCGTTTCCCGTTTTCTTCTGAAATGATTGTTATTGAGGAAGTTGTTCATTTCAAAATAAATTTGTCTTGGTTAGTTGAGTGTTTGAGATAAGATCTTGATTGAGTTGTTCGTCAGTTGCAGTGCAGAATGCCAAACAAATGTAGCGTTGCTGGGTGTTACACCAACTACAAAGGACACGCTAGTGGGACTGTATTCCAGTTTACAAAAGACGAGGAGCTACAACCGATATGGCGCTTGTTCTTGAGCAGAGTAGCTCATGACACCGCTGAACTGAAATCCGTGTTTATATGCGAACATCACTTCGAGGACAAGTATATCAAGCGAAATACCGAGTATCCTCGCCTCATTAAGTCAATGAAGCCAATTCCAACCATCCATCCAGAGAGCCTGAAAGATCGTCCCTCACTGCAACCTTCAATCCCAAAGCTTTGAAAACCTTCGACTCAACGCGATTTTCAGGAAGATGAGCTTGACAAGTTCAAGCACCTTGACATAATCAAAGATTTTGGTGACATTAACGACTCACTTCTTCACGAACTTGGTCACTAGTTTTCTTTTTTTCGCAATGACGACCATGCCATTTTTTTTTCAAAATGGAAAAGAATGAACAATCTGTGCCTGAAGTTACAGTTTGCATCCGAGTGGATGTTGATCTGCGCGTATGCCTTTACCACCGAGGTGCCCCGCTTCCTTTACCCGAGTGGTTTCGTAGAGGTCAGTGTAAATTGACCAGTAAAAGTATGCTCCACAATTTCCCTGCCTATGTTGAACAAAAGAGCTTATTCTGTAGCGGTGTTTTGGAAGAGTTAAGGAAGTTGAAATATCAGAAGAGCCCTGTGTATTCAGCAAATATGATTCAGTATGCCTTCTTCTTACGTTATACATCTCTACAGACTTACAAACTGCTGCAAGAAGAGTTTAAATTGCCATCTGTTTCCCTCCTCCGGCGAATAACAGCTGGGAAGATCGATGCATTGAAAGCTGCAAACCTTCTTAAAGGCAACGGCAGTATTTCTGATGATGTGATTCTGATCGTGGATGAAATGTTTCTTCAGAAGTTCGAGGAGTACATTGCTGGTGAATCGTATGGCGCAGATGAACAAGGTGAGCTGTATAAAGGTGTGGTATGTTTCATGATCGTTGGGTTAAATAGTAACATTCTATATGTTGTGAAATCCCTTCCCGAGAAACAAATAACTGGGAAATGGTTAAAAGACGAGGTTTTAGCCTGTTTGAAACTACTTCAAGAAACGGATTCGGTGTCAGAGGAATTGTATCGGATGATCATTCTTCGAACGTCAATTCATACAAGGAATTGCGCTCTGCGTGTGGCGCCGGTGTTGATGATCTGTATATCACACTGAATAGTCAGAAGACCTATCTGTTTTTTGACTCTGTTCACCTGGTGAAGAACATCAGAAATAATTTGCTGAATCGCAAAAGGTTTCTTTTTTCTACTTTCAATTTTACTGGGTTTTATGACCCTATTTTAGTAAGCGGAGGAGAGATTTCGTGGTGGTTACTTCATGAGGTGTACGAGAAAGATCATAAACTTGAGGCAAATTTAAGGTGAGCGCCTGAACTTAGTGCGAAGGTTTTACACCCGGGAAATTGTAAACAGAATGTACCCGTAGCTTTAGCCATTTTTTCACGTTTAACTGCTACCGGCATAAGACATTATTTACCTGACAAAGCCGACGACGCTGCAAGTTTCTTGCACCTTGTCGATGTTTGGTGGACAATTTCAAATTCAAAATCCCGATTTTAAACCTTTAATCGCCTTGGGAATGCTGCAGTTCACAATGACAAAAAAACCCGAATTCTTGAGAGCCTTTGCAGATTGGATTGACGAGTGGGATAACCTATAATTGTCGAATTGCGACAAATTCAATCTTACTGCTCAAACTAGTCATGCGCTTCAATGCACCCTTCGCTGCTATGCTGCTTTAATTGAAGAACTTTTAAGTGAGGGTTATTCATATGTGCTGACTTCGCGCTTCCAGAGTGATCCTTTGGAAAAACGGTATGGTCAGTACCGCCAAATGAGTGGTGGTCGTTTTTTGGTCGGCTTAAAAGATGTGGTATTCTCAGAAAAGATTCTAAAAATTAAAAGGCTTGTGAAGGAAGAACTGGACATTGATGATGGGGTCAAAGTCACCGATGAAAAATCACCGGAAAAAGTAGCAGAATTTAGAGACTCCGTGCAGCCAATCATATCTGAGTGTAATAGGATATGTTTGACGGATGCTTCTAAGGAAATTTCTGATAACGTTGCTGGGTACATTGCAAAAAAGCTGATTAAGCTTTGCAATAGTTGCTTTTAGCAACTACTAACCAATAATGGTGTTTCGCCATGTGTGCAGTTACTTTCTCGTGGCGGATTGAAGGAACCATCTGCTGCGTTGGGTAATTTTGTTGCTCATGGATTTGCTGTACTGAATGCAGCAGCAAATATTTTTCAAGACTCTAGCTTGCCATCGCGATTTGTTGCGGAGGATCTTTTGAAAACCATTTTGTGTAACAAAGAGTTCGTCTGCGAACAGCACGAAGATATCGCCAATAAC